CATTTTATTTTGTACCTAATACATATATAAATAAAGCAGACAGTAGAGTTCTTTATACTATGATATGCCTAAAAAAATTGACAACTTTCCAATGACTTACCTGTACTTGCATGTAGACATGTCTAGTCTATTTTAAAGCATTCAGTCATAATTTAGGAAAGTACGAGTATGTCTTTTGGCATCACCTTCAGAAAATTTACTTATAACATCGGAAAACATTGCCAATTTTTATTTCTAATTTCCCTGTAAGTGCCTTTATAAATATGCTTAAATATTTTCATTTTAAATTCAGTTCAAATTTACTTATCCATTTTATGACGAACCCTCTACCACTTATATTGTAATCACTAGGGAAAACCCCTACAGATAACTCATTCCACAACCTGAGCGTTTGTGAAAGATCACGCTTCTGAAACCACACTATGCATTTTATTCATTATTCTTTATTGTACACAAAATATAATGTTAAGCACAATTCATTTTAAACATAATGTACAAAGGCGAGCTTATCTCTAATAAGAGATTTCTTCCAGCAAACCTTTTCATGTAAATTGGATGTTATTTTAAAAAATAGAAATAGGCAGTCATACGATCTGCGTACATTGTATAAACGCATTCATAAGATATGTGTACACAAAGGATAATACAAACTACACATATACATACACACACATGCACGCACGCACGCACGCACGCACGCACGACACTGAGAGCCCACCTGATAGAAAGTGGTAACCGTCGCCCATAGTCATGAGCAGTACCATGGGCGAAACAGTATACTCTGTTACGTCCATGGTACCCCTATTATTATTATTATTGTTTTATCCTCTAAAGAACAAAACCCTTTTATTCTGTTGTGGTCAAAACTATTATAGATTACCTGTGCATCTTTATATACCTACATGGAGAACACGTGTACATAGTTGTGGTGTAACGTTGGCAATTTTGATGCTGTGCCAAACGAGACATCAACGTCGGACTCCCGAGACTCCGTGGCGACTTCCCGCCATACCTACCTACCTATTGTTACCGACAGATGAGGTATAAGATCACAAAATTGTGCTTCACCTACATGCTTTAGATATATTGGAATAAGTTCCATTTTATACCAAACTCAGCCGCACACTCATAGCCATTCAGTTTATTCATAACCTAATCGTGCCGGGGGGAAAGGGGTTATTAGTAATGGGATCTAACTGTCCCATTGCAGGGGGAAAGGGATTGTTAGTAATGAAGACTGAGAATCCCATTGCTAGCAATATACCCAACCAGGTCGACCTCCTCGCGGATCCCCCTGGAAACTATCATGGTCAATTCCTGATGACTTCATCATGATGGGCTAACTGGCCTGTTTTCATTCTCAACTCTCCCCCTTCACTGGTGCTCCGCCAGCGTATCCCGTTAGCGCAGGCAGGGATACCATACCATTTTCACCCATAAAAAAAAAAAAAAAAACTGTCCCATTGCTAGCAATACACCCTCTAAAGTTAACCTCCACGTGGGTCCCCCTGGAAACCACCATGGTTAATTCTTGTCGAATTCATCATGTGGGCTAACTGACTTACTTCATCCTCACCTATCATCCTTCACTGGTGTCCCGCCGGTGTATACCGATAGCGCGGGTGGGGTTAGCATTCCATTATCATCCATTAAAAAAAATCATGCCCGTTATATAGGAGTTTGCGCGGCGAATTTTTGTATTTTTCCATCAGAATCAGATATTTTATTTTACCATAGTTAAAATATTATTCAATTGTACAGTATCCAATATATGAGATGAATTCGTTTCATACGTTGGTGATTTAACTACGATAGTTTTCAGCAACAATAGAGATGTCGCGCGCGCCTTATCGACCTAGAAGAACGTTCTTTTGAAGAACTTCATACTGTAGATCTGTTTGTTCTAAGAAACCCCCGTTCAATACTCATCATCGTCATATCAGCCTTTAACTGTCCACTGCTGAACATAAGCCTCATAGGGGGTTTTGCCAGTATTTGCCACGCTTGGCAGGCGGATTGGCAACCGCAGTTAGACTTTAGAGATGTTTTAAGAGAGACGCTGCTGCCCGTCCCTCGCTCTTCCTTAGTTGCGTCTTACGACATCCACGGAAAAAGATGGGGTGGCCTATTCTATGCTGGGACCACACGGAGTTCAATACTCATTTCACACAAAACGTACTGTCTTTTTTTCTCGTCTATATAGCGTAAGAAATGTATGTAATAAAAAAGGCTCATTTTTATAAATAATTCTTACTTATTCCTACCTATTACCCATTAAAGTTTTTTTTCTATACAACTTAGAATGGCAAACAAGCTGACGGCCCACCTAATGGAAAGTGGTAACCGTCGCATATAGACATGAGCAGTACCATGGACATAACAGAGTATACTGTTTCGCCCATGATTCCTCCCATGCGTTGCCATTGCTAAGGACTCAGGTGTTATTCCTCTGTACCCAGTAAATTTACTGTCGCATTCCCACTTTTCAAACCGAAACACAGCCATGCAAACACAACTGCTTGGGACAGGGGTACTCAAGCAAACAACTTTACAAAGTCTCCTTCTGGTATATATATATATATATATATATATATATATATATATATATATATATATATATATATATATATATATATATATATATATATATATATATATACAGATTTTATGTAACGTTATATAGATATTTTAATTTAAAATCCATAACACTTAAAACGCTTCTCTCAAAAGTGGCAATATTAGCGTGATTCAATACTACTTATCATTATTCTAATATTATCTGTATACGTGTACAATCTGTCATAACAGGTGCACAAGTGGGTCGCTATCTGTACCAACGGCGACTTGTCAACAGTTCAATATAGATAGATAGATAATTTATTTGCATTACTTACAGCACACAAATTACAACATACATACACAAAAAAAGCGAGATAACATAAATGACAAAAAAATACACAAAGCCAAATACAACTTTCGTTTGTGAGTGTGCCATAGCAATACAAAAAAAAATACAAAGCCATAGCTACAGGAGGTGGGCGCGTGACCACTCCGGCTGACCCCTTATGTTACATATCGTATCGTAATAGATAAATTCTATTTTTTTTTTAAATGTCTTTATAAACATTGGGAAATATTATGAAATATGTTTATTTATGTACTATCTGCCCCTCCAAGTCATTATATAGAAAAAAAATATTACTTTATCTAAGTAATGTGCTTATGTTTTTTTTTTCTATTTTTATTTAATCATAAACGTTTGTTACCTACTCTTAGGGCCAGGTTTGATGTAGATAATCAAGATTATTGTGGTTGTAGACGCGTAATTTTAATATTTTTAGGGTTCCGTACCTCCGACGGAAAAGGCGGAACCCTTATAGGATCTCTTCGTTGTCCGTCCGTCCATCTATCAAGACCCCTTTTTCTTAGGAAGCACGGTGGTATCAAGTTGGAATTAATATCATATACTCAGTTCTGCAAACTCTTAAAATAGTGAAAAAATCACGCTCCTAAATTAACGCAATCAAAAGATACGTCCGTATATGTTCCATATATATCACATATTTTGACATTCGCAAAGTGAATCAAAACCTATAGAATACTTCCCGTTCATCTAGAATCATGAAATTTAGCAAGAAGCAATTTCATGTGGCACAAGTAAAGGAAAAAATCCGAAAATTGTAAATTAGTAACTATTTTACAAAAAAAAAAAATTCGATAATTTTGTACGGAACCTTCGTTGCGCGAGTCCGAGTCGCACTTGATTTTATTTTTTTATTTATAGTTTAATAAGCAATATTTCTCTATTACAAACATTATATTCTGTCTATTGAATATTACCAGAGTAACCTGTTTAGGCTTAGCACGGGTGCTTCAATGAAGAAAATTAGAAATTAGAAGTAGACAAATATTAAATTACATTATTTGTGTATATCCCAACATTCTAATTAAACGACCTGGAGGGCAAGGGTTTATTAGTAATGCGGACAACCTTTTACATTACTAGCAATATGCCCTGGTAAGTCGATCTCCACGTGTTTCCCCTCTAGAAACTATTGTGCTGAATTCCAAGTGTACTATAGAGATAGACTAACAGACCTGTTTTCATCTTTATCTCTCATCCCTCGCTGGTACCCTGCCAGCGTATACCGTTAGTATAGGCAGGGTTACCATTGCATTATCATCCATTAAAAAAATATGTCTACATTACTAGGTTGTTTAATTTTTTTTTCTGTCATCTATGCCAGACCATAAATTATAAAATAAGTTTTAAAACTTATTTTGTGATTTATGTACCTACGAGAAAAATACGTTATTATTTTTCAATAGTTAATTTGTGTCTTTGTAACTATGCTCAAATTTTTTGAAAGGCATTTAAAGCTACTTTAGTAAACATACAGTGTAGAAATAATTATATGTACTGTAATCGTGGAAAAGTAAATGAATTAAAGATTGAAGATCGAACCTGATGAAAAGTAGATATACACTGTGGCCTCAGTACTTTAAGTTATAGTATACGACAAAGACGGTATAATGAAATTACAATCTATAATATAACAGGTGTGAAATTCTTAGTTTTAACCATTGAAATTTACTAAAAATGTTATGTATTTTCCTATCCATATTTTCTTCACAAACACAGTCAAAAATATTTAATACCTAGCTATAAAATTCATAAAAATAAAATTACTACTTACGTCGAATAAGGCTGTATAGACTTCATTCTTTTGCTTAGCCGGCAAAAGGATGAAGATAAAAAAAGTATGCTTTAGTGTTACTATATTGTAAATAACATTTTACTAGTTCTTTTTTTTTAATTAATTGAGCAATAATACACAATATTATAGTAATAAATGGCTACACACGAATTATTTTATTGAATTGAATTGATGAAAAATTTGAATTACATATATTTTTGTATTATTTTTTTATTCTAATCATATAGGTAGATAATAGTTAAAAATTGTGACAATCGTTTTCTTAAACTGGCAACAAAAATTTTGATTGCTTACTTACACGTCAAATAAGTCATGTCTGATTTCTGAATAAAATGTTAATTATTTTTGTTTAAACCGTGTTATTATTATTATAGAGAGGTACAAAATTAAACAAACGTAAATATCTGTATCATTTGGATGTACGGACGGAAACACATAATCATTCCTTAGTTATAACGTCTAATGTAATATAGGCTAGGCTTATCGGAAAATGGGTGAGCAGTTTTATTAACTTTAATAATGTTTCTTTGATTAAAATGTGTTGTGGCAGTGTCCTAATGTTGTTTTCTTCTAGGTGGCCTGTTTAGTTACTTCAGAGGGTTGCTAGGAGCGCGAGAAATGAGGATTCTAATTCTCGGATTGGACGGCGCCGGAAAAACAACAATTTTATACAAATTGCAAGTTGGGGAGGTTGTCACCACGATACCAACGATCGGATTCAATGTAGAACAAGTTACGTACAAAAACCTCAAGTTCCAAGTATGGGACCTTGGTGGTCAAACTAGTATTAGGTAAGTCTTCAATGTTATTCTAGCTTATGTGATATTTTCTTAACAATGAATAAAAACCACACAAAATATAATTTTGTTGAATTATTGTTTAGTGTTTTCAAGTTAAAAAACTAATGTTCCTTTATTGACTTCATAATTATGTCACTTACAACAAGCTAACTTAATGATATTAACTTTAATTCTTTGTCTATTTTAACTTTCTAACAGTTTTATAGATCAATGTTTACTAATATTATACATATGAAAGTGAGTTCGTTTAAGTGTTACTTTGTAATGCCAGCTTAACTAATCACTAAGAAATTTGGTATACACATACTATATGAGATTGAGAAGCATATAGCTTATTTTTTATACTGTTGAGTAAACATATACCAGTCATGCAGACAAAATCATGGGTAAAAGCTAGTATCAATAATGATTAAATTATTATAATTTAATACAGTTTTATAAATAAATGTCCATGTGCTTACAGTATAGACTAGGGCCAACCCATAATAACTCATCTTTTCCCATGGGTGTCGTAAGAGGCGACTAAGGGAGGATTAGGGATGTGCAACAGCATCCCTCTTAAAACATCTCTAAAGCCTAACTGAGGTTATCAATATGCCTTCCAAGCATAACAACTACTGGAAAAACCCCTCAAGGGACAAGTTTATGTTCAGCAGTGGACCATTAAGGTCTGAATGATGATGATGATTATAATTTCATTCTCATAATGCATATACTTGTAATGTGTTATTTTTCCACTTTTGCAGGCCTTACTGGCGGTGTTACTATGGAAACACAGATGCAATAATATATGTTGTAGATTCTGCAGATAGAGATCGAATAGGAATATCCAAAGATGAACTTGTGCATATGTTAAGAGTGAGTATATACTTAACCAGTAGCAGTATTTTCATATCAATTAAAAAACCTAGGAAAAGCAGCCTATAATTGAGTATTTACTGAAGCTTTATTAGTAATATTTAAATGTTCTCATCATGTGATCCCGCCATGGAATGGGCCACCCCTTTCTTTCCTGTGGTGAAAACTTGACAGTCGAGAGATCTCATCTCTCTTGAAGAACTTCTCTCATGAAACATTCAAAGCCTAACTGTGGTTGCCAACCCACCTGCCAAAAAAAGGCATATTAGCAAATATCTCTGTAAATGAAAACAATAGATTTTTATTAGGAATATTCTATTCATTGCAGGAAGAGGAGCTAGCCAATGCAATTCTCGTGGTACTAGCAAATAAACAAGACATGGCCGGTTGCCTGACGGTGGCTGAGGTACACCAGGCTCTGGGACTAGATGCATTGCGTGACCGCACCTTCCAGATATTCAAGACGTCCGCAGTGAGGGGCGAGGGGTTAGACCAGGCGATGGATTGGCTCTCGAATGCCTTGCAAGCCAGGAAATAGCAGCAGAAATAGGTTTGTTACTTGACAATTACTTTGTTTTTACTAGTGTAATTGTAACTGTTTTGAACGATATTCTCTGTATTTCTTTGCATAATAGAATCTGAAATGAAGATATCCACAGTAGAATCAAAGTGACCGACAGCCCAAAGTGAGCTGTACTCAAAAAAATTTACAATTGATTGGGAAGAAATGTTCTTGAGTGGCAACTTCATACGTAAATGCAATGTAGGACGACTCCCCGCTAGATGGAGTGACAACCTTCAATGCACTGCAGGAAGTCAATTGATGCTAGTGACTCAGAACACTTTCCTTATGACTATCGAAAGTTTACTTGAATAAAAATATTACATTCTTTCTATGGCAGAGGACAGCAATACCAGAGGGAGACTTTGTACAAAAGTCGATTGCTTGGGTACCTCTGTCCCATTCGTGTTTCAACCGTGAAGCAGTTGTGTTTGCATGGCTGTGTTTCGGTTTGAAGGGTGGGATATGGTGTGAATTTACTGGGTACGGAGGAATAACACCTGAGTCCTCAGGAATGGCAATGTATGGGGGTGTCATGGGCGAAACAGTATACTCTGTTATGTCCATGGTACTGCTCATGTCTATAGGCGATGGTTACCACTTTCCATCAGGTGGGCCGTCAGCTTGTTTGCCATTCTAAGTTGTATAAAAAAAAAAAAATAATGTCTGATATGGTAAAGATAATATGATGAGTGGTAAGTAGGGATAGTTTTTACTTCTCATAAGTTCGAGGTTCTAGTTAGATGGCCTTGGGAGGTCACGTGATATTCATAGTTAAATTTACAATTATTACAATTCAGTAGGTAAGTAATTGCTAAGTGAACTCTTTAAATATACATATTAATGTAAAATAGTATTTGAATGTTAATACAAGACAAAGCAAATAGACCAGCTTGTTTAGCAACTTACAAAAAAGTGAATGGCTGTAACGCTAGGCTGACGTCACAGCCGCTTATGACTAAGGGTCCCGGTTGGTCTAGAAACTAATTTAGTTCTTGACTGAAATACACATAAGTTAAACCGGTATATATTTGATTAAAATATAATATAATATGTATACTTTTTTATGCAACATAATATAACATCATCCTCACATATTGTTAATAATGGAGACTAAGGGACCCATTGCTAGCAATATACCTAACCAGGTCGACTTCTACGTAGTCCTCCCTAGAAACCATGCATCGTGCTAAATCCCAGGTGTATTCATCACGATGCGTTAACTGACCTCACCTATAAAACATCTCTAGAAGCCTAACTGCGGTTACCGATCCGTTTGCTAAGCATGGCAACTACTGGCAAAACTCCCCTTTTTATGGGGAAGGCTTATGCCCAGCAGTGGACAGTTAACGCCTAAAATAATAAAAAGCCCTTTACAGGATGAGGGACTATATATATATATATATATATATATATATATATATATATATATATATATATATATATATATATATATATATATATATATATATATATATATATATATATATATATATATGTATATATGTGTAGGTTTATTATTATTTATGTACTTGTATTATTTACATATGTAGGTGTATACATCTGTTTTTATTGTATTATATATTTAATTTTTTACTGGGTATTATTTAGTTTATCTTTAGCTGTACGGTTGTTACCCTTGTACATTCTACAGTTTTCTGTCAACTTCTCAAAAGTTGACTGTAAGAGATCCCCTTATGGGATAAGTTCACCATTGTATATTAAATCTTTTAATGTATTCAGTATGAATTATGTACAATAAAGATTTTACATTACAATGTTTTACTTACAGATTGTATAAAAAAGGACACGAGCGAAGGTCGGGCCGAGCAGCAAAACGGGACGAGTTGATACAAACATCTGTAACGCCATTAGTGATAGTACTTACCGCCGCCGAAATTGCGCCTGCGCATGTACACAAATATGTTTCTGTTATCAACGTTTTTATTATTTGCATGAATGAATGAATGAGTATACTTTATTTGCATTATACAATATAGGAAATAAGCAAGACAATTTACAAACACAACGATACAATTGTATAAGTACAGTAAGGCGGTCTTATTGCTGAGAGCAATCTTTTCAAGACAACCTTAAGGTAATGGACTAATTGTTGTACAAGCAGGTATGATAGTGCTGTATAATTAAAAAAGCATCTTTTGCAAATTAAAAATATATAAAAATTATATACATATATACACACACACATATATACTTGATTTTGAACCATAATTTATTTATGGTATCAGTTCCTTTAAATGTACATATTGAAATTTAAAAATGATGGTCATACAAAGAAAAGAGAAGCACATTGACAGCCATATTGTTATTTTGTAAATCATCCCAATTTATATTGAGCTTGATTATTAGGTTTTACTCGTAATATCGCATAAAATTTGAATAATATTAGACTTATGTACATTTTGAAATTCAAAATAAATTATGTTTACTTTTGTATAAAAATCATTCAATGTAAACCTGCTTTTATTATATATATAAGGCGCTATTCTAAGAGTCGTCATTGTGGATGGGAGTTAATCCTAGGCGTATATTTGTACCCACCAAAATAATAATGGTTCAAAGCATGAGTTCTTAGCAAACTTATCTTGCACGAACCGAAATTCCTCGTGTGTACTGGTCCAATAATTTTTTATGGACATTTTATATTGCCGGAGGACTGTCCCTCGTTCTGTAAACGCCTTTATTATTATTTCAGCCGTTAACTGTCCACTGCTGAGCATAAGCCTTCCCCATAAAAAGGGGAGTTTTGCCAGTAGTTGCCATGCTTGGCAAACGGATTGGTAACCGCAGTTAGGCTTCTAGAGATGTTTTAAGAGGGACGCTGCTGCACATCTCACGCCTTTCCTTAGTCGCCTCTTATGACGCACACGGCAAAGGAAGGGATGGCCCATTCTATGCCGGGTCACACACGGCGAAAAGTCTTTATTGCGTATTATTTATTAAAAAATATATTAGTAATATTTGTATTAGGTATATACAAATTATATAATTTAAAAGCAGTGGACAGATTACAGGCTGATACAAGGAATTATTTAATTTACTGTTTGTTTTGTTACTGCTGGATGGAGTTTCGTTGCACAAATTATATGGTACTATTTAAAATTCTCGTTGGCATATTTAAGTTTATTTTCCAGGGCGGGCTCCTTAAAAAGGGTGTATATATACTCTGAGATATCGTTGTGAAGTTTTATATATTCTTTATTGCACTAAAACATACAGTAACAACAATAAGTTAATAACAATGTTAGCAAACGCGAACTTATGTCTAAAAGAGATTTCTTCCAGTCAACCTAACGCTAAAACTAGTTTTGCACGTATCCTAAACACGAGACAATTCTGGAGTAGCCCCCCTCTTTTAAATACGCCTACGAAAATTGTACTTGGTTTTACTGTTTTTGTTGATTTTTGTAGTGATTTCTGTTTAGGATGATGCTCCGATTGTATTGTATTTTATGATTCTTAGAAATAGATAAATACCTACCATCTTTATAAATATGTCTGAGTATAAAGGATTTGTCAAACCGATCGCGTGTCTAAATAAAAAAAAAAAATTAAAATAAAAACAGTGGAACTAAATCTTGTTTAAATAGTATTATAAGTAATTATATAAAAAGAGGCAATGGTATGAGTTTCATGTATGAAGTTGAACAAAAACATTGAGAAACGAGGTGATAAAAAAATGTATGTGTGAGATCGGGATACTTATTGTAATGACGTAATTGATAAGTGCTTTGCCCAACTGTAGTAATTAATTTTAAGTCGATTAAAAAACAAGGGAAGGTTCTTGAACCGTGCATTTTACGCTGCAAGATAAACATTTTTTTTTAACCATTTTCATTAATTCTTTTTGTAATTAATTCAATTTACTCCTGTATTAGTCCCATGCAAATTTTGTAACAATTAATATCGCTTTTTGTAGAACAAAAATCCGTGTTATGGACGTAGACTCGCCCTCTGCCATGTTTAATTTCTAATATTATATATATGGCGAAATGTGCGCATATAGAATGTTAACGTGAAGTTTACAATTTTTTTTTTATTAATGTAAACTTAATTCAGAACATTTTAAATAGTCATTTTCTATGATTCTACTTATTTTGAATGCAATTACAAATTGTTTTTTTTTTTCAACATAAGTTGATTTTAGAATTATTATTATTTATTTTTTTATATACATTACAACAGCACAAGAATTAATTAAATTATTAGTCAAACCGAGTCAGTTATTGTTAATAAGATCTCTCCGATTGTCCCATTATGTATTATAGTCGTGAGCATAGTTTCTATTAATCCTGCCGGTCCCGACTTCGTAGTAATGGTATGTTTTAAAAAATAGACTGCTTAATTTCGGCGGCGAGATTTTTATCAAAATAAAAGAAGTTTCGTAGGGGATCGTGTGTGTCGGCGATGGATGTACCTATACATAAGTTATGAATAATTATAATTAATTAATTAATATATATTTTGTATCAGTGACGTTCACCAGGCTAATTTATATTATAATGCGGTAAGAGAGAAACGTTGTTCCAAATACAATATCATGTATTAATGTGGCCTCTCATTTAAACCATTTACATATTCCTTCCTAAAAGGCTGGCAACACCTGCGATTTCACTGACTGTGCTGGTATCAAAGAACAAGGAATTACATAGAAGGAATGATAAAAACTGTAAATCATTTGGTCGCCTCCTTTCTTCTTATGCAAATATAATTAGTAAAAAGAGGACGAAAGATACACCATCAGTTGCTATTTTTCTCAATACATAGCAGGTTATTGTATAGAAAATGTTTGATATGTCAATTATTTGTCAATAACAAATTTTACATTACTAGATTATATATTCGACACAGTTTATATAGAAAGTATGCAAGTAGGTCTGAATTTGGTAGGGTTATACGGCCGTATAACATTTTCATACACTAGCCTGTTATGAATTGACAAGAACAGCAATGCGATAGTGTATCTGTCGTCCTCTTTTTACTATTTATATTTGCATAAGAAGAAAGGAGGCAACCATATGTTTTACAGTTTTTATTTTATCATTCCTTTGATAGGTAAGGATTGGTATGAGTCAAGTACACAAAATCCTCCATAAACATTTAGCGGTCAGAAAGCTTTGTGCCCGGTGGATACCTCATAATTTGACCGAGGCTCAAAAACTCCGACGTGTGTGCGACATGCGTTTCACAGCACCAATTAGGTGCTGTGAAACGCATGAAAGATTTAACGGAGGTGACTCAAATTCTGTATTTGACATAGTTACGGGAGACGAAAGCTGGATTTACTGTTATGATCCCGAAACTAAAAGACAGTCAGCTCAGTGGGTGTTTCCTTTCGAGGAGTTGCCAACTAAAGTGAAGAGAGGTCGAAGCGTGGGAAAAAAGATGGTGGCCTCGTTTTTTGGAAGGACAGGTCATTACGCGACAATTGTTTTAGAGGATCGAAAAACAGTTACTGCAGAGTGGTACAGTAACAATCGTTTGCCACGTGTTTTGTCAAAAGTGCGTGAGAAACGACCTCGCAGTAGGATCCTCCTTCACCACGATAATGCTCCGTCACACACTGCCAGGCAAACGATCGATTATTGGCGACCTCAGACGTAGAACTAATGGGTCATCTGCCTTATAGCCCCGATACCTTGTGATTTTTATTTATTCCGAAAAATGAAAGAAAAACTTTGAGGAAAACGTTTTATGAACGCCGAGGAAGCTGCGAAGCTGAGAAGGACGAGTGAGCAACGTGCTTTTCTTAGTGGTTCTATCGGATGTAGCGATGTATTGACGTGAATGGACCCTATTTTGAAAAGATAAAATAAAGGTAAAAACTTGCTAATTTAATCAGTTTTTGATTTTCTAAGGACTTTCAGTTTGACCCTCGTACCATAGTTATAATACTTATACAAGAGGGAGACTTTGTACATGAGTCGTTTGCTTGGGTACCTCTGTCCCATTCGTGTTTCAACCGTAAAGCAGTTGTATTTCAATTTGCAGGGTGGGACATGGCGTGAATTAACAGGGTACAGAGGAATAACATCCGAGTCCTCAGAAATGACAACACATGGGGGGGGGAGTATCATGGGCGAAACAGTATACTCTGTTATGTCCATGGTACTGCTCATGTCTATAGGCGACGGTTACCACTTTCCATCAGGTGGGCCGTCAGCTTGTTTGCCATTCTAAGTTGTATAAAAAAAACCTGGCAACAGTTAAAGCTTAACTAACCTTTAAACCCTACCTTAATCAGGTGCCTATTACGTTTATTTTGGGTTTGCTCACCTGATCTAGCTGGGCCTTTTCCTTCTTCGCTCATGCTGTATTAAATAGTTAGCTATTGCTTTGAACATTGAATGTTCTATTTCGAATATTGTTGAGTTGCTGGATTCATTTTTGTAGCGCTGAGTAGCGCATTTTGATTGTTACATTGAACGTGACTCCATTCTTCTTTTGACTTTTCTTTAAGTCGATTGAAAGCATGACTGTTGTTGGTTTTATATCTCTAAACTTGTCCCTTAATCTAATGTTTTAATTTGATAATTTTTGGGAATTAGTGTTTTTGGGTCATCATATATTTAATTTATAATAATTTTCATTTAAATCTATTGCAAATTTAATTTATGTTGGTCCTAAGCGTAAAATTGTCGTTGTTTTAAAATTTTTTTTTTTACACCACAGGGGGCAAACGAGCATGCGGCTCACCTGATGGTAAGTGACTACCGCCGCCCATGGTCACCCACAACACCTACGGCATTGCAGGTGTGCTGCCGGCCTTTTAAAAAGGAATATGCTCTTTTCTTGAAGGTTATGTTGTCGTATCGGTTCGGAAATACTGCTGCTGGAAGTTGATTCCAAAGAGTGGTTGTGCGTGGGAGAAAGTGCCTTGAAAAACGCACGGTGGAGGACCGCCACTCGTCCAGATGGTTGGGATGAAATTATTATAATTGGTATTGAGGGTTCGAAGTGCGCATATATTATTTATAAGCAAAACAAACAGTACTGAAAAATAAACAACAGCTCTATGAGCTTTCCAATGACAACACCTTTTTTTTTTAATCTACATTCTAATCGTTTATAAATGGCCAGTTCGAAATTTAACAGCTGTAATATCAAATTGAAATTTTAAAATTAGAAACAGATTTAGAGAAATGGCGCTCCAGAATCGACTCCAATGTCAATTTATGGAATTTCTTAGTTAATTCATTGTTTTTTTTACAAATACGAAATATTTTAATTCCGTCACAAAAAATAGTGCCTACTATTAAGTTCAAATTATTTATCAGTTTAAAAAAAAAAAAAACATAGATTTAGTATAACGTACTTACATTAAGTAAGAAAATATACAAAGTTCGACAGTCTACAACTTTATCTTTGGATATGCCACATAAACAAAAAAAAATGATATTTCATTAAAATTGTTTTTGATTACCGTTAATTACGTCATAGATATAGAATTAGTTATAGTAATTTATCTAAGAACTTCATTACTGTCTCCTCCGTCAAATAACTCGGTCAACCGGACCTTTATAATTCATCAACGGATTAAGTACCTAATCGAAATAAACTCCAAAAATAATGTAAACATCGCCCTATTTACACAAATGTCACACGTCATCACAAGAACTTTGTATAGTGCAGTGTACAAAGAGATTTGTGCGGGTAGTATGAGTCGCAGAATAACAGTGGTGATGGGATCGTAGACTAATTGTCGGTCATAGGTAAGTATTAAATTGATCTAATTTAATAAAATTGTTACTAGACAATGTCATGTACATGGAAAAATTTATATGGGTGGTCTTTATATCGTCATAGTGGTAGAATACTGACGGATCTGACAAATATTACATATAAAGATCTGTCAGTATTCTACGACTATGACGATATAACCAATAAAAGCTGAAGCTGAAATAATATTTTTTAGAAACTTTGTATTTTGTATGTTTGTTCAGGTATTATGCAAAACTATTGCACCAAATCAGATACAGTTTTCATAGTTGTATTCCTGAAGGATTAATTTAAAATCTAGTGTATATTTCAACTTAATACTCTATGTTATAGTGGTCTGTTTCATTGGATTTCCTACGGCTATAATCCATGGGTATTTTTTTTAATGGGCGATAATGGAATGGTAACCCTACCCGCGCTATCGGTATACACCGGCGGGGCACCAGTGAAGGATGATAGATGAGGATGAAGCAGGTCAGTTAGCCCATCGTGACGAATTCAATAAGAATTGTTCACGATGGTTTCCAGGGAGAACCACGTGGAGGTCGACCTAAAAGGGCATATGCTAACAATGGGGCTGTCATACTCCATTGCTAACAACCCCTTCCCCCTAATCCATGGGTACGAATTAGCGAGCAAAAAGCCAGTCTAGATATCTCTCTTATTCTTAAAAACTAATACGTTCTACAGGGGGAAAAGGGATTGTTAGCAATGGAGTTTGCCAGCCCTATTGCTAGCAATACATCCTTTTAGGTCGACCTCCACGTGGCTCCCCCTGGAAACCATCGTGAACAATTCTTGTTGAATTCATCACGATGGGCTAACTGACCTGCTTCATCCCTACTTATCATCCTTCACTGGTGCTCCGCCGGTGTATACCGATAGCGCGGGTGGGGCTACCATTCCATTATCACCCATTAAAAATACGTTCTACAAACTTTTAACTATTAGCATAGATGCTCTATATATATCGAGTATCAAGCATAAATAAATTCAATCTTCTAACACATTTGAGGGCGACGACCCGGTCAGCGGGTATGATGTCCCTTCAATATGAAAGCCATGCGTCATCTAAGGAATGGCCCCTCAAAATATATTAACTGCATGTCTCATCTACACCGCTCAATCAACTAGTGCAGCGTAAGTAGGAGGAGTTTCGTGACTCATCTATATTTTATAAGTGATTTCAAAAAGAGGGGGTGCTTAAATGTGTTGTATATATTTTTTATGTTTGTTGTCTCGTAACTCAGTTTTTTTTATGCAACTTAGAATGGCAAACAAGCTGACGGCCCACCTGATAGAAAGTGGTAACCGTCGCCTATAGACATGAGCAGTACCGTGGACATAACAGAGTATACTGTTTCGCCCATGATACTCCCAATGCGTTGCCATTCCTGAGGACTCAGGTGTTAAGCCTCTGTACCCTGTAAATTCACTGCCATGTACTGCTTCACGGCAGAAACACGAATAAAACAGAGATATCCAAGCAGAAAACTTTTCTATAAGGTCCTCCACTGGTGAGGAAGGTGAGGAGATCTATTGAACTGTAAAATTTAGCAGTTTAGTAAATGTGCCAATGAATTACACTATTAGTCACAGAAACTATATAACCTCATATGATATTTTTGAATAATACCCGTAGGTCAAAAAATATATTTTAAATTAGGGACGCTACTGCCCATCCCTCGCCCTCCCTTAGTCGCCTTTACCTTAGCCGGGGGTGTCGTAACCCATGAGTAAGGAGGAAGTGGCCTATTCTATACCGGGACCATACGGTTCGACTATAATCCCTAATAATTAAGATTGTGTCCCATAAAAAAGAACCGACTT